GCACTGCAGCTCTGGGGCAGGGCTGGGGAGAGAACACTTGAACCACTTGCTCTCCATTTTGGTGTCATTTTGCCTTTAAATAAACCACTGAGAGAGATACTACACAAGTGAAAAAAAAATTCCTGGCCATAAAACATATCACACCTTACTCCGAGGTAATGGCAAAATACCTTCCTATAAAAAATGAAAAAGGAATCTGTGTCACCTAATTATACCCCAGCAAGATCTTGTTCAATGAAACAATGAACATTGCCAATCACCAGTTTCCCTTCTACACATATAGCGCCTGGACCCAGACAGCTGGAATTTCACACCGGGGAGACGCTGAGATCATCCGATGGTGGAGAGTTTGAACTTTGATGATTCTTTTTAGTATGATAAAATTGGCCTAGATATTTCTGCCTTCCCCAATATGCATGGGGATGTGGCCGTCAGTGGAGGAAGGCAGAGGCCGGAGTCAGGGCTTTTCATCTTTGTCTGGAAAATCGGAATTCAGGTCAGGCTATAGTCACTGAGCTGGAGTACCACCTTCTGGCTGCCTCCGATTTAAGAAGATTGCGGCAGCCCAACTTTTTCTCAAATTTGTAGATTTCTCACTGTGTCCAAACACCTCAAGTCCCTCTTTTTCACTTATCAGGAGGCTTCTGAGCAGCTCCTGTCTAGGCTGGTGGCTCCTTATGCTTCGGGCTCAGCTGTCACCCTGGGGTTGCCTCCCTCATCATGGAAATTCCCTCTGACTCTGTCTTGGGTGGCATCCCCAGTTCCCTGGATTCCACGTTTTCCCCTTTCTCGATATTTTCCAACATTCTGGTGGACCATCTCTTGTGGCTTCCTGAGATAGGATACGTGGGCAACAATTTTATGAGACCTTGCCTGTCAGAGTTTTTTCTATGCTCACACTTAACTGATAGTTTGGCTGGATATAGAATTCTAAGTTGGATCATTTTCCCTTAGACTTTTGCATGACATTTTTCTATTTTCTCACAAATTCCAGAGTTGCTGTTGAGAAGTCCAAAGACAGGAGGATTCTCAATCCTTTGTATACAATATATAGTTTCTCTTCAGAAGCTTTAAGGGCTTTTTTCCTCAGTATCCAGAAATTTAAGATGATATATATTTATGTGAGGCTATTTTCATCCAATATATTAGGTACTTCTTTGGTCCTTTCAATCTATTAGCTCACATCCTTTCCATATGGGAAATTTCCTTGAATCATTTCTTTGATGTTTTCTTCTCTGTCTCTCTGTTCTCTCTTTCTAAAGCTCCTTTTATTTGGACTTCTGGAGGAATCATTTAAAAAATTTCTGCTTCTCATCTTCTTTTCTCTATTTTTGGGAAAATGTTCCCAATTTTATATTCCAATCCTTCTACTAATTTTTTCATTTCTGCTGTCATATTTTAATTTTCCAATGGCTCAATTTTTATTCTCTAAAAGTTTTTTTTTATTCCCTGAATACTTCTTTTTAATGCAATTAAAATAATGTCTTTTCTGGGACATTATTGATGGGGGTGTGTGTATGTTCCTGTGTGCGAAATTTACATTTCTCAGTATTGTTTCCGTTTCCTTCAGCTTGCTTCATCTGTTTGCTTTGACCTTGGTCATTTATGTTAGACGTTTCCCTTAAATGCCTGCTGATCACCAAGTTATGTGGACCCATTTACAGCAGGGCGCTAAAAAGCTGCTGGAAATCCCTATGTGTGTGGGTGTGGCTTGCCAATTGCAGATTTCACTCTAGAGCAGCAGTTTTCAAAGTGGGGTCTCAGGACCAGAAGCAGCAGCATCACTTGGGAACTCCTAAGAAATGCACATTCTTAGGCTCCACTGGAGATTTACTTGATTTAAAACCCTGGCAGTTTATAGTTCTGATGCAGGCTGCAGTTTGAGAACCACCTCTCTACGGTGATCTGGGTAAGCCTTTTTAAAAAATTATTGATGTATTTATTTACATTAAAATTTTACATCTAAGATGAAAGATACCACAGATAAATACAGTTAGAACACAAATAATGGGTAAAATACCTACCACAAGATAAAATCTTGGTCTTTTGATAAACGAACTTCATTTGTCACAATCAGTGTGGTTCCTGATTTGCTTTGACTTATTTTTGTCCTTGGGTAAGCCTTTTGATTGGCAGATCTCTGACGTCAGTATTCAGTCTCCTTCCTAGAGGGCCCAAGCCTGAATATCAAGTTTCTGGGAGTTGAGTGGACAGGAGAGCTTAGCTGGGGGTACAGTGTTCATAAAAATACTTATATCTAATCTCCTTGTTTTCAACTGGGCATCCTACTTTCAACTATCCCTCATATCTCTATCCAAAGACCCTTTTTATTTTTAATTTTTTTAATTGAAGTATAGTTGATTTACAATGTCGTGTTAGTTTTTGGTGTAAAGCAAAGTGATTCGGTTTCATATATATATATATATATATATATACACACATATATACACACATATATGTATATATATATTCTTCTTCAGATTCTTTTCCATTATAGGCTATTACAAGATATTGGATGTAGTTCCCTGTGCTGTACAATAGGACCTTGTTTATCTATTTTATGTATACTAGTGTGTATCTATTTTATGTATACTAGTGTGTATCTGTTAATCCCAAACTCCTAATTGATCCCTCCCCGCCACCGCCCTTTTCCCTTTGGTAACCATAATTTTGTTTCGTATGCAAAGACTCTTTAAAACCCTCTGCAGATAATAAGCAAAAGTCCAGTCTTCTGTCTGGGAGGGGAGAGGGGGAGTGAAGAGACAGTCACGTAGGGTTGCAGAGCAGGGAAAGGCATCTGAATGTCTGACTGCTGCTTACATGGACTTTCAGTCCATCCTCCTATTCTTAGTCTCAGGTCCACCTCCTCTTCCAGAAGCACCTGGCACTGCCATTTCTGAATCTTTGGAAGGGGGAGAGCTTCTGCGATGCAACTTGGGTAGCTCCTTTTTCCCCACGGCCAGTTTGAGATTCAGCTTTCTCTGCCCTGCTGTTAGTCACCAAACAACCTTCTGCTTTCCAACTTCCCAAACTCTGGGCTGTTTTCTCCTTTCCTAGTCTCTTTATACTGGCAGGTGAATGCCTTTTGAAAATTCCATTACTCTCATCTTCATGAAGTTTGGGGACTGGAGCAGAGGAATGAACGCACGTGTTCCATCCCATATCTTTAACCAGGCATCCCATTTTTCTCTAAACGTGTTCTCTTTGGGGACGAGGAACTAGAAACCGTCAATGAGAGAACAGAGTTTCCAAAATTACTCCCTGCTGCTGCTACTGTCATCCAGGTCAGGACTGGGGGCCTGGCTGTGTTTTGGCCTCTCTGGGCCCCCCGGGGTGATGGGGGTAAGGGAAGCCAAGGCCTACTGTCATTCAGGCAGAGTCACCTCCTGAAAAGATGGCTTCCATCCCTCGCTCAGGAGCCAACCATGGCTCCCCATTGTCTATAGTGTTTATCCCTCAAGCGGGGCATTTAAGGTTTGCCTTAACTGCTTGAATTCTCTCGCTGGCACACCTCTCTGCCCTCTACTCCCCTCCCCTCCCCTCCCCTCCCCCTGGCCGCAGACACTGGCATTCCTGCCCTCTGCCTGTCCTCTCGCGCGGAGAAGGGCCTCTCTCTCCCCTTGGCCTGCACAGATCCCGCCACCCCTCCAAGTCCAGCTGAGGGGCCCCCACTCCCTTTAGGCAGCCTCTCTGGGGCTTCAGCTTCTTTCTGGCCTCTCACACTTGTCATCAGCATCACACAAGTCAGCCCTGTGGTGTCAACTCCAAAAGGACACCTCCCCCTGGGCCCAGCATCATGTTGGAGACGCTGGATGTTAAATACATATTTTTGATTGATTGGTAAGGACATACTGTGCTCATTTCTTATATTCTTTATTATTAATTAATATTAATATAGATTCTCTATTAACATATTAATACTTGACACATAATACATAAATACATATTGTGAAGTGACAAGCACTGTCCTAGCTCAGTCCTCAATTTCTCTTTCTTTACGGTTTTTCTCTGTGCCATCTTGCCCCACAAGTCTTAAGAAAAAGTAAGAGGTTTTGGTTTAGTTGCTTAACGGTCTGTTTTTTATAACAGAATTTCTCCCAAGCTTTTCTCAAATACATTGCACAAACTGTGTTTTAACCATTTTTTCAGAAATCAAAGTGGATCCACCAATAGTCCTAACCATTCTAAGGCATTAAATAGTTCTCATTTTTCCATACTCCCTTTCAATTGCCTCCTAATCCAGTTTTTAGAAAATTGAGGTGAAATTCACATAACATAAAATTAACCATTTTTAAAGTGAACGATTCAGTGACGTTAAGTACACACACAATGTTGTGCAACTGTCACCGGCATCCATCGCCAGAACATTTTCATCATCCGAAATGGAAACTCCGTGTCTATTAAACAACAATTCTCCATTCCCTCCTCCCCTCAGCCCCTGAAACCACCACTCTACTTTCTGTCTCTACGAATCTGACTATTCCAGGGACCTCGTATAAGTGGAATCATCCAGTATTTGTCCTTTTGAGACTGGCTAATTTCACTTGGCATAATGTCTTCAAGCTTCATCCCTCTTGTAGCGTGTGTCAGAATTTCCTTCCTTATTAAGGTCAAATAATATTCCATTGCGCGTATAGACCACATTTTGTTTATCCATTCATCCGCTGATGGCCACTTGGGTTGCTTCCATCTTTCAGCCATTGTGAATCATGCTGCCATGATCATGGGTGTATCACATCTGTTTGAGTCAGTCTCTGTTCCTAATCTGCTTTTAACAGAGTTGTGACAGGACCTCAGGCACAGTTTGGAGTTCTACTATTTTCTTTAATGTTACATCATACCTGCCTTTTTTCCATGTTGCCACACGGTCTTTATAACCATCCTTCTCAATAGCTGTATCATAGACTGTCTCAGTAAGATTTTGTCTAGATTTTCACAAAGAAATGCAGTGCCAGTTTAGACAAGTTCTCACAAGCCTTCCCATCCCGCATCTTTTGAAGGTTGGAGCAAGATGCATTTGGAAAATTCTCCTGGGAGAAGCAGTTTTCAGCCTGTAGCACAGATACCCCTGGCCTCGCCTCCTCTGACCTCTCATCCCCAGCCCCATCAAAGCTGCAGGAAACAAAAGGAGACAACCATGTCCTGCAAACAGGAGAGGAGAGGGAGCTTGAAGCAAAGCAGAAGTGCATCCTGGGGAGTCTGCATTCAGCCTCAGAGCGCAGCTGTGAGTCGAGCCCCAGCGCGAGCCAGGTACCAGGTCCTCGCTGCCTCTGCCTCCACCAGTATCCTTCGTGAGCATCCTTTGGTAACCCCCAGAATGCACCAGAACACCACTGTCCTATACTTGCCTTGGCTTGTGTCAAACGCTACAAGCATTGCTCCTGCTCCTTCAGAGCAGGGAGCAACAGAAGCAGAAAAGAGCTTTCGAGGACCCAGGGACCCACTGCCGACAGCCCTGGGTGCCTGGTAGGGAAAGAAAATGTTTTGTTTGGCTTTGTTTTGTTCACAGAGCCCCCTTTCCCAGCCGCGTTCACCTTAACAGCATCACTTGAAGCAACAAAGCAGCTTAATCATGCTGCCTTTTAAAACTTTGAACTAGGCAGGCTGGATTCCTTGTGTTAAAAATCCTTTCCCTCCTTTTAAGAGCTGAAAGGAGCTTCCCTGCTCAGCCTGGTTTTAAAACCCTCACACCGAGCATGGAAAATTCTATAAATACCAAATGCAAACCTGGAGTTTAACCTTTAATTAGTCTAGCCTCTGGCTCAACCTCCCGATTCCACCGTCTTCTTTCTGTAGCTTTCTGTAGGCCTTCTTTAAACTCTGTCTGGAGATTGATCAACGTGAATAATAATAATAAAAAAAAATCTCCTTGGGAAGACTTTCAGAGTCGCCGGAAGATGAATAGGAATCGTAAAAGTGGGTGTGTGATCTTCAGAGAACCGCTCCTCTGGCACCTGTTTTTCTGCATTGATGCCAGAGGTTTGCATCACTTTGATTGTCTGAAATCACTGCATAACCCCCAAAACAGGTGAAGCCTGTATCTTAACCTGGCTCCATTTTCTCCCAGGCGGTCTCCTGGATGCGTTTGCTCTGAAGACCTCTGTTCTGCTCATCTACTGCTGCTTAATAAACCACCCCCCAAATCAGTGGCTTGAAACAACAACAGTTATTTATTTTGCTCACAAATCTGCCATCTGGGCCAGGCCGGTGGGAACAGCTTGTCTCTGTTCCACACAGGGTGCTCTGGGGTGGCTCGAAGGATGGGGGGTGACTTGACGGCTGGGAGCTGGAATCACCCGAAGACCCACGTGATCACACATCTAGCGTTGATGCTGGCTGCTGCCGGGACCTCAGCTGGGGATGTTGACTGTGGCCTCTCCACGTGGCCTCTTGGCTTCCTCACAGCGTGGTGGCGGGGCTCTACGGCTGGGTGTCCTGAGGGAACAAGGTCGAAGGGCATGGCATTTTTAGGACCGTGTCTCGGAAGTCACCGAGCTTTACTTCCACTCGATTCCTTGGCTTGCAGACGCTGCCTTCTCAGTGTGTCCTCACATGGTCTCCCCTTGTGCTCACATCCCTGGGGTCTCTTCCTCTTATAAGGACACCAGTCCTAGTGGGTTAGGGCCCCACTCTTCTGACCTCACTTAACCTTACTTGTCTCTTTCAAGGCCTTGTCTCTAAATACCGTCATATTGGGGTGAGGGCTTCAACGTATGAATTTGGGGGTAGGGAGGACACAGTTCAGTCCCTCTTTGGAACATACAATCTGCCATAGGCCCTTAGCTATGTTTTCCTCTCTCTCTGAGTCTCTTAAGCTGAAATCATCCCTCTCAAAAGGACAGTGTCAAGCTTGACCTGCAGGCGAGGTTTGGAAGGTGTTGCCCCATAAAGGTCTTTCCCTCTGTGAGCCCAGGCTACCTGCCAGGCCTGGGGCACGACATATTTGAGGACTAGCTGTGTAATCGTCACCTCTAAACCAGCTGTGCAGAAGAGCGACGGCGGACCCTGTGGCTGTCAGTTCACATCTTGTGGTGGTTTTGTGTTGTGTCACCTCAGCTAAGCTGGAGCATTTCCTAGAATTCTCTTCCTTTTACGGTTCCTGATTAGAGTTGGTCAGAAGAGAAATATGCACATTTGGAAGGTGGTGGAGAAGCAGCTGCTGCTCCTCGCTGGTCATCATGGTTAGATGTGGAGAAAGACAGAAGGTGGCGGAAGGTGCCGGCTCACCCTTGTTCTCTCCTGCTCCACTGGCCCTGCTGAGCCACAGCCTTGCCAAGTCCACCACCAGACGTAGAGACACATCACCTGTGGGCGGCTCCCCCAGTTCCCTCTCGTGGCCCCACTTTGGCAGCTGCCCGTGCCTGGCTGCAGGAAGGCTGGCTAGTGGCTTCTCTCTGTCCCTCCAGCGTCACCTTCAGACCCTTCCTTTCCCCGACTCTCCCACATTTGGGTCAGCTCTTGTTCTGTCATGAAGCCCTTCCCCCAGCATCCTCATTATGGTCTGTGTCCCCGCTCCAGCCCTGACTGGCACAACCTCCTCGTTCTTTCTTTCCCGAGTCTTCACAGTAATGCCCAGGCTCGGGCGGCCTCCCATGAATTTGATGAGAATTCTTCAGAATGGAGACATCAGGGCCACCCAGTGCCCTCCCCTCCCCCGGGGACCCACACAGTCGCCTTGTACTCACAAACCTGGGGGTTTAGGCACCCATCTCCCTGAATAGGTTCTATGCCCAAAGGAGGATAAAATGGGGACCTCCCCTCCTTGAGGCCTGGCCTGTGTCCTTGAGATAGGGCACACACATGCGGAACGCTAAGTGACCAGACCAAATGGGGTCCACATCATAGGGGAGACAGAAGGGATGCAGCTCAGGGGTTCACGAGAGGAAGATCTTTTCTGAAGTGGAGGGAGTGGTCAGGATGACTTAACACTTTGTGGGTTAAGCAGAGTCGGGCATAAACTCTGGCCGCCCAGTGACTGTGCTCGGAACGAGATTCTGGTTGGGAGTAGGGGCGTCTCCTTGTTTCCCCGCCCCGAATGCCATCATTGTTGGAGTTGGGACAGGGCAGCGGAGCTGGGCCCTTTCAGGACTTCGAGAAGCTGGGAGGAGCCTTTGGGCCTGAAGCAGGGCCTCTCTGGGCATCCTCTCTGCCGCACGGCACCTCAGCTCCCCGCTCTGGAAGGTTCTTCTTAGGCCCGGCGCCGAAATGTGTCCTCACTTTTTCCGTGACATCAGTTTCTCCTGCAGGCTTTAGAAACAGGGTGAACACAGCCCAACACTGGAGAGCCTGTGGGTTCTGAACACTGTGCTTCGAGGGGATGGGTCTTTTCTGTGGTCAACTGCAGCACCCTAATAATTCCTCAACATTAAAAACAATGAACTCGAGGGGGAGGGGGAAGGGTTTAGCTCAGCGGCAGAGCGCATGCTTAGCATGCATGAGGTCCTGGGTTCAATCCCCAGTACCTCCATTAAAAAATGAATAATAAATAAACCTAATTACACTCCCCCCAAAGAAATCAAAACAAAGTTAAAAAAAAAAAACCAATGAACTCAGCCAACAAGTTAATAAATCAGTTTAATGTGCTGAGCTCACTTTCCAGTGACTTTCAAGTTGCCTCAACCTGAGTAGTGAAATATTTTTAACCCATTTCTCATCTATTTATTTACTTACAAATCGCATTCATGTGCTAATGTTTTTCTGCTAAGAGCATAAGGTCCTATGTATATGTGGGTGAGGCCCGTTATTAACAAAAGAAGTTGAAAATCCACATCTCAAATTATCTGCTGAAGTTTGAAGTTTCTAAAACGTACTCCTTGTGGCATCTGATTGAGAGCGTGGTGTTTCCCCCTCCTGGGGCCGGCGAGCTCTCAAATCAGGAGTGCTGTGAGTGGCGCCAGTGCCTTCCCAGCTTCTGCTTGCTTTCACAGTATTATCTCCAAGCCACGGTTTCTTTAGAGGAGCCGTTTCAAGCCCCTTGCCCATTTCGTGATGATTAGTTTAGTTAGAGCGAGATAATATAATCCGGAATTCCACTCGACACAACACCCATAACCGTCCGTTTACTGAAGTGAAAAATCCGGCGAGGCAGCTGCCGTCTGAGTTAGGGGACTGTCACTCTTGCCTCAGCATCCCTTGCCTGTGACGCTGGATGGCAGCGAGCAGTGACCTCGCGGTCAGTCTGCCTGTTGCATATGGGTCCCTGTAACGTTACAGTCAACTTTTGCTGCCATTTTGCTGCAGAATGAACACTCCAAAATTCAGCGGCTTACAACAGTGGGCGTTTATGGTTTTGTCCTGCCCCGATTCCTGCGGGGCTCTGGGGGTTTCATGGATCTTGGCTGGGCTGGGCTCTTTCAGGATGCAGCTTGGCCAGGCTTGGTTCCAGGTTGCAGGTTTTGTGCGGGTCTGGAGCCCAGGCTGATGCGACTGCCGCCACCCAGGACCTGTTCTCAGTGATGGCAGAAGCTCAAGAGGGCGAACAACCCAGCACAGAGTCCTTCTCACAAGCCATGTCCACTCATACTCCTTCGGTCCAGCCCAACTTGATCGGCGTCGGAGGAGTATATCCCCCTCACAGTGGGAGGCGCTGCAAAGTGACAGGACAAACGGTATTAATTCTGTTCCAAGCAGGTGACGAAGTAGGATGAATTAGCCAAAGCACTACAGTGATATAAACAGAAGTTCTCAAGTTCTGGTATCTTCTTTCTATCTATGTCATTTTGCTCGGGCTGCTATAATGAGGTACCATAGATAGAGTAGCTTAAATGACAGAAATTTCTTGTCTCACTGTTCTAAAGGCTGGAAGTCCAAGATCAAGGTGCCGGCAGGGTTGGTTCCTCCTGCGGGTGTGAGGGTAGGATGTTCCAGGCCTTTTTCCTTGGCTTGTCTTTCTCCTGTATCCCTTCACCTCATCTTCCGTCTATGTGGGTCTGTGCCCAAGTTTTCCTTTTTTAAAATGACACTAGTCATATTGTGATTACCCTCTGTAGAGATTCCATCTCCAAATAAAGTCACAGTCTGAGGTCCTGGGGGTTAGGACTTCCATGCATGAATTTTGGGGGGACATAATTCAACCCACTGACACTACCCCTAAAAGGATTGTCTTGTGTAACACTGAGGGTGTGTTTCCCCCCCACTTT